ACACTGCAAACTACCCGTCAGGCTATACCCTTGTACATTGCAATTTACCTATGAGGGTATAGTGGCCTTTGATTTATACATTAAAATTTACTTACAAGTTGCTCAGGAAGCACCTGTCAAAAATACATTTTCAGTGTAAGAAAATTATAACTTCTAACAAGATACCTAACTTTCACTCACATATGTAGCTAGAATCCCACACTAAATAGGTGGAGGGACCAGTGCGAGGGAGAAAGTAGAAGCAACCTTTGAAAGAGTCTGAAGGACACCCTATTGAGGGAACCCTCTAATAAGAGGATTATACGTGCGAGACTCTCTACCAGGTATATTCTTTGGCCAGATGTGGAAAAAGTGTGATAGATCCAGACAGAATATGGGAAATAAAATGATTGGACAGTGATCCTAACCACAATATACTATAATTTCAATCTCCCTGATGAACAGTATGTGCGTAAAATAAGGGATGTGCCCAAGGTGTAGAGTTGCCATGTAGGGTTAGGAAAAAGGTTCATATTGTCTTCATCACAAGTTCTGCTGATTGGAGGGAGAAATCCCACCACCAATCTATGAACAGGGCACATGTGAGCAGAGTGAAATAACGTACATATATATATATCCCACTAAAACAAACAGACTGGAATCATCTCAAATGCAGTAACATCCTTGGCATAAAAACACTGAGGGGTAGCACAAGAGGAAGAAGTGGAGCAACCAACAAGTGCACCTACCACGACCCACAACACTGGGGTAATGCACTCAAGCCAAATTGAGTGAGGGACCAGGGACACTCTCAAAATGTGTGAAGACATACGTTGATTGGTTCAGCTCTAAATCCAAAACTCAACTGTTGGAAGCCAACATTCATGTGGGGTAGGATGAGGGATCCCAATCGTTGGAGTGAACTGCATTTATGGCAGTACACTACATGTGGGAGTACATCATATACATTGGTTCAACTCTAAGTCCAAAACTCAACTGCCAGAAACTGACATCAATGCAGGGGAAAAATGATGGATCCCAATCTCACAACATGGGTGAGGAGATATGGTGATTAGTTTAATTCTAAATCCAAAACTCAACCACCGAGAACCGTCAGCCATGCAGGGGTAGGATGAGGGACCCCAATCATTATGACTGCTCACTCCAAAGCTACAACATACCCTTGAACAAACACATGAAGAGATGGAGCATCCACTTGGAGGACATCTCGACATCTGTACCATCAGAACACCCCTCCCCTACTCTCAACTGAATGGAATCTTTATTGTTTATATTGTATATCTCTCATTCAGGAGGATATCTTCATGGTGCACCACCTTAGTGGCTTGGATCTGGAAAGCGGTGAAGGACTCTTACTCCAGTGGAAGAAACGAGGGGGAGGAGCATTTCGAAGAACATTCACACCAAAGACAATGCAATGGGTGACCACAAAACCCTATTTTGAAAAGCAAACCAGACCCAATTTATTCAATCTAAGGAATGGCAGGAATGGGCAGCAATCCCCTACAGCTTTATCCATGAAGTCCATGGGTTAGTATGGTCTGGAAGAGGTAGATTTATGAAGCAAAGATATCACAAGGAATAACCTACAAGCGATTTTGTGGAACACTCCATCTTCAGTTCATATGATTGTAATAAACAGTGTGCGTTTTGTGGCTATGGAAATTATGAAAGTGAAGTCAATGTGGCCTTACAGTGCAGGTTTTAGTACAATTCTAAGTGATTGAAGTGTAGCTGGATAGGCACCACTCACCACAGAATGGGATCCTAGTCAAAACATGGGACCTGGCCCCTGAAAAATAACATATATATAACAAAAGAAAAACTTACCCAGTCACAGTCTCACCAAAGGGTGAAGGATGGTAACAGGTGAAAGATGGTACCCCAACAAGGAAGAACCAGTTACCCAAAGCAGATAATGGGAGTTGAAATATAAGATCCCAGTGCTCGACAGATGAAGTACTTCCAATGGACGATGGGGTTGAGATGCATGTAAAAGGTAAGGTGCCTGAACGGAGTGAAGATACCAGGAATTGATTTCGAGAAGAAGGAGACAAGGAATAAAAGGCCAATAGAATCACAAGCCAAACAATATCATGAACAGAGGAGTGGTGCAAGGGAAAGAAACTGCACAAAATGGAGTCAATTGAAAAAAGCCTTGAAAGCAATGAAGCAACCCAGAGCATGTACAGGACAGAGAAGGTCATTCAAATCTGATCGAGAATAAAAGTAGAAGATGGCAAGAAATAAAAATGAGGAAAAGAATACTTTACATGAGCCTCCAAAGTGTAGGTTAGTAAAATTGACCCAGAACAAAAAGAAAATATCAAGCCAAAACAGTAAAGAAAGTCAGATCTGTGCTGGCCAAGAAGGATCAATTAGAACGACCTCACCCTGAGTGACATGAATGATCAAAATTACCTCAGGAAGAAGAGTCATAGAATGAAAAAACAAACAAACTAAAGTTATGAACTGGATATAATCCTGTCTGAACATATAGATGGCCAGGGCGAGTGCATGATGAACCAGAGACCATAAACAAAAGAGGTAATTTGGAATTAAGAAAGAAGTCAAACACTACCATGGAAAAATACCATACAGGAGGCAGAGCCACTGAAAATTTGAGGATCAAAAGGCCACTCTTTGGGAGAAAGTGTGTCGGGACTGGAAAGGTAATCTACAATGAGGACAAAAGCATCTGGAACATGACACATCAGGAGACATATGTCAAGTGTGTGGATTGAAAAAGGGAGATCCACTGTCTACAACAAAGGGAACAAGAACGAGTACCCCTTTGTTGAGTGATATAAGCCACCACCATCGGAATGAAACATGATTAATCAAATCTGGACAAGAGGAAATAAGTGAAATAAATCATGTTGGACTGCTGGAGGTGCCAGAATGTTAACATGGTAACACCTTTTGTCTGAAGACCATTGTTTTGAAGCCTCCTGCTGATCCATCCATGCCCCAAATTTAAAAATGAGCATCAGGGAAGAGAAACAAATCCAGATGAGGGGGAGGAATTGGTAAATAAACCCAACAACGTGGGGGATATATTCAAAAACCAATGCATATAGTCAAAGAGGGAAGGAGGAATGTTAAGAGGAGAATCCAAAGGAACCCTAGCAAGAGACCATGGGTTGTGCAGCATCTCCTGAAAAAATTGCAAATGTGCCAGACCCAAAAGAAGAAGTCCTTCCATATAAGCCACATTCCCCAATCCATTAGAACCTCATCAGCTGTAAGATAGTGAAACATAATGGTATAGATAACACAAAACTTCATCGATTGAATAGGAGGAGGGGAATGGATGGTCCTGAAGGAGGTGAGTGATTAAAAAGACACTCCCCAAATAGCCGAGATAGTTAGGTAGGAAACATTAATAACTTATCTAACTGGAAAATCCAACCACCTGAACCACTGGTGTAAGAAGCAGATGAGTACTTTATGACCACCATCTGTGTGGGGCCTTCAAACTCGAGTCAAGACCTGACAAAGGTCAGCTCATTGGATGATCAATCTCCCAATGAAGTAAAGCCGATACTTCCCCAGTCAAGGACCACCACATAAAGCCTGTGTAAATGTGTTGATAAAAGATATAACCTCAGCAGTGGTAACTTAGAATTTGGAGTTCATAATTCAGAATGAATAACCAAACAAAACCATGTTGGCAGAAAGATATAAAAAGTAAAATAAAATTTGTAAAGAAGTATTAAGTTCCATAACTGGGTAGAAATATAAAATAATTCTACCTCGGAATAAGTTACAAATATCACTATTGTATAATAAGTAATAAACTTGTTGAGAGAAATTCATACAAAAATATGAAAAAAAAACTTGAAGAGAGCACAAAGCAGAACACAAGCACTGCCAAATGAGAAGTGATAGGTTGAATAGCATAGAGGGAGTCACGTGGGTGTGTGGCACTACTATTGGTGGAGGTCTGTGGTATGACAATTTGCATGCATGAATCAATTAAACCATGTGAATTGAGGGTGCTTGGGAGTGAAAGGCTTGTGGCATGCAAAAAAGTTTGAAAATAGAGGGCAGCACTGAATGAGAATAGCTATGTATGTGAGCAGAAGTAAGGTACCTTCTCTAAATTCATCTTATTATGATAAGAAACAGAGTGACAAAACAACCAGCTTTAATAATTTTTTTTTGTAACAATTCCATAAAACTTATAAGTTAAACAAAGTATTCTAAATGCTACACAATGACCAGGGCAAAATTTAATATTCAAAATTAATGCTTCTACTCTTACACCTGATTTGACATGTAACAAAGGTACTTATTTTGAGTTCAAAACAGGGCTTGACTGAAGCATGTTGGCTAAAAATTATACTTTATAAGTCTCACAATAATGAGTGTCAGGTTTTCTATATAGAAGAAAGATACAAAATGTGTCAGCAATCCATCAAAGTAAATCCAGGGCTCAAATTTCATATTTTCCATATGATGACCACAGAGATCATTGTCACACAACTCTCACCATGGGCATCAGTTTTATTGTTCTAAAGTATTTTGAATACTACACTTGTTAAAGTATTACAGTACTTGTTTGTGTTAGTTTCTTAAAATTATAAACATTTGAATGTTAATTTAAAGAAAATCTTCAATAACAAGGTTATTTTTACAACTACAAAAATCTTATTCATACACACATTTTTGATTATATATTGTTTTATCCATCCGTTTACGACTTCTGATAATAACTAATAAACTAGTAATTATGATATTATATTATAATTTTAGTTAATAATCATCTTTTTATCATGATTTTCAGATTTTGCTGAAGAGGGAATTAGTGTATTCTGAAATTTTTGAACATTGTAAATAAAATGTTTTGTGTTTTATCAACCGTCTTCATCTTCATTATTAAACTTCGGTTTACCCATCATGAATCCATTGCTTTACAAGCTGTCTGAGATTATTAGGAGAATATTCTTCTATGTTCTTTAGATTAAAATATTAGATTCATCCACAGATATACTTACCTCTATTAACTTTGTACGCTCTTGAAGAATCTGACTCTTTTTCTTTGCAAACAATAAAATCTTTTCTGTTACTTTTTTTTTTGCATCTGTCAAATCAATAGCTTCTCTCTCTACTCGCTGAATGTTTTCTTTCTTAAGTGCAATTTTAGCAATCAAACTATTTCTGTTGTCTCTCACTGTTGTAAGATTTTTCTGTGAAAAAATACATGCATAGATATAAAATTTTTATATTTATTTTACTAATAACATTACAAAATTTTCTCTGACAAAAATTACCTTATACTTTGGTGAAACTTTCTCACTCTAGTGAGGTTTGTACATTACAAAATATTTGGATTTTTAGGATAAACTTACCTTTAAAGTGATAATTGCTAGAGGGAAAATAGAATTTACATTTTGAATTCACTTCCATTATGTTATTAGATATTTCATGTTCCAGGACAATGAAACATTTATTTCCCTGACTAATAGTTCAATTTCTTCCATTCCCTTACCCAATTTCATTTTCCCTGATTTCTCTAGGTTCACATGCACCCTATGAATATTTAATACTGCTGGCATGTAAGTGTATATCTCCAGTTTAAATTGACAATGCAGTATTAAACAAAATCTTCTTCCATCTAGTTTTATACATATTATAAAAGTGGGGAATTTCAAGGATAATAACAAAAGAAATTATCAACATTCTGAACAAACTGTGCACTATTTCATGTCATGATAAAGTACAGAAAAGTGACTTGAAGTTCTAGGTCACATTGTTAATTACTCTCTATGAGCTTCACTGAAATTTATTACATTACCTGAGTTAGGACTAAGTTAATAGGAAAAAAATTAATTTGTAAAATTAATACTTTCTTCAAAATTAACATAATCATAATTTTAATATTTTTTCTGAATGAAGATAATTGAATCAAACCCTCAATTCTGTAATGTTCATAATATATTCACTTTAATAGATTTTATTTTCAAACAATTCAACTTTCCAACTAAATTTAGCATTCACATTCTTTTACCTTTCAGTTTTAAAGACTTAAATAAAACAATAATTTAAATGAAAACCTCCAAACTATGATTGGCTTAAAGTAAGAGCCCATGAACATTTATGGCTGTCTTTTTCTAACGGTTAAGATATTCATTAAAGCTAATTTTATATAACAATATATATCAATTCTTTTTCTGGTAACAGTAAAAATAAATATTAATACAATCTAAATTCATTGTAGCTATGCCCTTTTTCCTTCCTGATCTAGTTAATGTTTAAATTTAATAATTTTAATGACTTTACTACTCAGATAAACAAAATATTTTTACTAGCACAAAATACTTACTCTCCACTATGAGGTTCAAAAGCATCCTCATGATTCACAGAAGCTCCAGTGTATTGATTAAGCTCCTCCATTATTCCCAATTACCTTTTCAGTTACCCTATCAAGACACCCACCTGTGGTACCTAAGCACATGTGCCAAGTTTGGTCTCACTAGCTTGTGAGTGGGGGTATGATGAATAAAGTTTCAAATATAGTACCTAGGAATTCTGAGGGGAGTAAGAATCAGTGCCAGAATCAGGTTCAGGTACCATGAAAACTTATCCTTAAACTTCCACCATGTCTGGTAGATCTTCTTGTAATGTTTTAGCCCCCTTGGCAATTTTTTATTTATTTATCTATTATCCATGACAGGTATATTTAGCTTAGAGACAGAGGTAGCAGAATGTGAACCATTACCAACTGAGGTGTTAGGGAATACTTTTTATTCCTATTTGTCCCACTCATACAATTTTCTTTTAGAACTACCTTCAATGGTATAAATTATATTTAGAAATATTAATTGTAATCAATATATTGTTAAAGTTATTAAAACAAGTCAGTTTACCCTATCGCTTAGGGTAACCTTTTTTTTTATACATGCTACAAGCCTTCTGCTCCCCCCTATTGGAATCGACTGATTCGTAATGTCTCTCATGAAATCATCATGCGTCACTTCTCCACTGATATAGAAGCATGACATACTCACATGATGTGGACCTTTCATCTACATACCAACAACCTGAAGCCTCTTGATGATCGACTCATGCACCCCCAGCCCTGAAGGGATGTCTCTGTGAAAAGATGTAAATTCAGATGAGGAGGAAAAAGCAGAATGCCTGCCGATGTAAAGGCCTTGTCCAACCAATGCAGATTGTCCATCAGGTAAGAGGAAGGGTAATGGGAGATGTCAGGGGATCCCGAGCATGATTCCATTGATTGTGAAGAGCCCACTGAAGGGATCGCATATGTGCATGCCCGAGGGTGTTCACTGAAGTAATTGATGACCACATCCCCAAAATGATAGAACCTCGCAAGCTGAAAGGGCATGGCAAACTAACACTTCCTTGGAACAAAGTCATAGAGAAGAAGGGTGGGACAGACTTAGATGAGTGTGTTGAAAGGGACACTTAAGTGGATGAGATATTGGGGAGGTTGGACTTCAACAAATTGATGAACCAGTCCACCCAAGCAGCCACTAAATGGAGCTGATAAGTATGGCTGGCTAACTCCCATTAGGAAGGAACCAGATTCCAGTCATCCATATAACGGTGGAATTGTGACCTCAGATCTTGAAGATGGCAAACAAAGCTCTGATCACCCAACAGAAAACATAAAGGTTGAAAGCATGTCCATAGGGCACAGTAGTGCTAAACCACCTCATGATGGACAAATGAGAACCTGGTGATAGAGTGATATGAAGATAAGCACTGGTGACTTCCATTTTGGTCATCTATAAGCCCAGAGAAATGCCCACCAAAGGGTGAGAAATAACTTCATGGTAAAATGAGGAAGTTGAATGAAGTGACTGAGGGGAGGGGGAGAATTCGATGACAGGCCTCCAGTCCCCAGTGTACTTTAGAACAACAGAGAGTCTGGAACAAAAACATAGTGATGTATGTAGATAGTAGTTCCAGAACTGCCTCCAACAGATGCTGGCTGGTCATGGGATCCTGAAATGGAGGAAAGGAATGAGTGTAGGAGATACGAGAGGTGGGAAAACGACGGGATCAGAAAACTTCCCAAGAAAACTTGAAGGACCCAAAGATTCATGATGAGAGGTTGCCCGTGAAAAAGAAAACCAGCAAGCTGAACTCCCATTGGGTAGTCACCAATACCGTTGGCGACATGACATGCACCATTGCGAGACGAGGCACCCTGAGAAGAAGGGACAGGTAAAAGTTGAGAAGGAGAGGGACAAGAAACAGAAACAGGTACCCAATTGGGCTCCAATATAGACAAATGGGCACCAAGGTTACTGATCTAACCTGTGATTCCAAAGATTCAGGGATCATGTTAAAGACGTATTGCTACAAAAATGAAGCCATGCATAAATCCCTAACATAAGGTGATGGTAAATGGATGCGAATTAAGACCGCAGCACAACGTAGAAGGTCTCAATAACAGAAAAACCATGTATGTAAAGCCAGAGCCAAAGATGACAAACAAGCCAACGTGGAGGAAGGAAGTCCCCAGAAAACTCCTCAGTATTTCAGTAGAGAGTCTCAGAGAAAAAATGGCATGTAGAAATATACCATAAAGAGGTGTGAGGGTAAGAAAAAGGCAGGAAATTGGTCATGGGTAAGACATACAGGAGATTCGGGGCTGCACCCGAATATATGGGGAAGGGAGAAAACCCAATAGGGATGGGAAGATTGGTCAGGTAGTAAGGAAAATGCAGTTCATAAGAAATAGAGGAAAGGGATAAAATGACACATACCTGAGAATCTAAATTCAAAAAGACTATCTTAAGCCTAACTGACTTCTCATGCAGGGCATGGAAATGCATGGCAAAATAAGGAGGTGCAAAGGGGCAATCCAAGTCCTCGTCTGCCGTAACAGGCTCAGCTTGTTCTGGAGGAAGTGAGGCAAGGTCCGGAGACACAGGTTGACCCACATATCATTCAATCTCCTGGCAAATAAACGCAAATAAATTCCCCATCGGGTTGTCTGCACCTGAGGCCTGAGACATAGCACTAGTTGCAAGTGTAACCCCTGAAGTGGTATCGTGTACTTCAGAATTCATAATGAGGAAGAGTGAACCAAAAATCAAAAGAATAAATAACAATGCTACTGTAATAAACTGTGATTAAAGTTCAAGTTAAGAAAGTCTTCATAAAAACTAGATCTGAAAATAAATGAAGACCACTTCATGAATATACTAAAAACAAACGTTAAACAAGCAAAATGGAACATGTCCAAGGACAAGTGCAGCCAAACAAGAAGTGATAATTCTCTAGAGGCGTATAGAGAGAGTCACATGCATTGCGCTCATATTGGTGGAAAAGTGATGCATGATGATTTATATGAGAGACATGTCTAAATCATTAAATTCCAATATGGGGGAGCAGAAGGCTTGTTGCATGTGTAAAGAAAAAATTGCATATAGATGGCAGCACTGGACAAGAATAGCTAATCTTGTGAGAAGAGGGAAGTACCGTATCAGAATTATGTGAACAACATAGGCTATTTCTGGTTTTAAAGGTGTATTTCTTGATAATGTTATTTACTTTAATTTGGGATGACATTACTTTTAATTGGACAACATACTCAGAATATGTACTCAAAATGTGTTTTATATATTTATTTATTCAATAAAAAACCTAGGATTTTGCTTTATTACTATTTTCATAATACACACACACACACATATATATATATATATATATATATATAATTATTTAATGCACTACTACCATTAGTTTAAAAAAAGTAGGGATAAAAATCCAAAAAAGAATACTCAGGTAGATACATTATTTCTTGTTTTTTATGTTTATTC